GAGAGAGAGAGAGAGGTGAGCAGAGAGAACTGACGATCAGAGAGAGAGAGACCGAGCAGAGAGAGAGAGACTTGAAGACGAGCAGCAAGGAAGAGAGAGACGTGAGCAGAGAGAGAGAGACGCAGCAGGAGATAGAAGCAGAGAGAGAGAGAACGCGAGCAGAGAGAGACTGAGCAGAGAGAGAGAGACGTGAGTCAGAGACGCGAGCAGAGAGAGAGAGACGCGAGCAGAGAGAGGAGAGAAGACGCGAGCAGAGAGAGAGAGACGCGAGCATCTGTCTCCTTTACCTTCAGACTCTCTCACTACTGTCTCCTTTACCTTCAGACTCTCTCACTACTGCCTCCTTTACCTTCAGACTCTCTCACTACTGTCTCCTTTACCTTCAGACTCTCTCACTACTGTCTCCTTTACCTTCAGACTCTCTCACTACTGTCTCCTTTACCTTCAGACTCTCTCACTACTGTCTCCTTTACCTTCAGACTCTCTCACTACTGTCTCCTTTACCTTCAGACTCTCTCACTACTGTCTCCTTTACCTTCAGACTCTCTCACTACTGTCTCCTTTACCTTCAGACTCTCTCACTACTGTCCTCCTTTACCTTCAGACTCTCTCACTACTGTCTCCTTTACCTTCAGACTCTCTCACTACTGTCTCCTTTACCTTCAGACTCTCTCACTACTGCCTCCTTTACCTTCAGACTCTCTCACTACTGTCTCCTTTACCTTCAGACTCTCTCACTACTGTCTCCTTTACCTTCAGACTCTCTCACTACTGTCTCCTTTACCTTCAGACTCTCTCACTACTGTCTCCTTTACCTTCAGACTCTCTCACTACTGTCTCCTTTACCTCAGACTCTCTCACTACTGTCTCCTTTACCCTCAGACTCTCTCACTACTGTCTCCTTTACCTTCAGACTCTCTCACTACTGTCTCCTTTACCTTCAGACTCTCTCACTACTGTCTCCTTTACCTTCAGACTCTCTCACTACTGTCTCCTTTACCTTCAGACTCTCTCACTACTGTCTCCTTTACCTCAGACTCTCTCACTACTGTCTCCTTTACCTTCAGACTCTCTCACTACTGTCTCCTTTACCTTCAGACTCTCTCACTACTGTCTCCTTTACCTTCAGACTCTCTCACTACTGTCTCCTTTACCTTCAGACTCTCTCACTACTGTCTCCTTTACCTTCAGACTCTCTCACTACTGTCTCCTTTACCTTCAGACTCTCTCACTACTGTCTCCTTTACCTTCAGACTCTCTCACTACTGTCTCCTTTACCTTCAGACTCTCTCACTACTGTCTCCTTTACCTTCAGACTCTCTCACTACTGTCTCCTTTACCTTCAGACTCTCTCACTACTGTCTCCTTTACCTTCAGACTCTCTCACTACTGTCTCCTTTACCCTCAGACTCTCTCACTACTGTCTCCTTTACCTTCAGACTCTCTCACTACTTGTCTCCTTTACCTTCAGACTCTCTCACTACTGTCTCCTTTACCTTCAGACTCTCTCACTACTGTCTCCTTTACCTTCAGACTCTCTCACTACTGTCTCCTTTACCTTCAGACTCTCTCACTACTGTCTCCTTTACCTTCAGACTCTCTCACTACTGTCTCCTTTACCTTCAGACTCTCTCACTACTGTCTCCTTTACCCTCAGACTCTCTCACTACTGTCTCCTTTACCTTCAGACTCTCTCACTACTGTCTCCTTTACCTTCAGACTCTCTCACTACTGTCTCCTTTACCTTCAGACTCTCTCACTACTGTCTCCTTTACCTTCAGACTCTCTCACTACTGTCTCCTTTACCTTCAGACTCTCTCACTACTGTCTCCTTTACCTTCAGACTCTCTCACTACTGTCACCTTTACCTTCAGACTCTCTCACTACTGTCTCCTTTACCTTCAGACTCTCTCACTACTGTCTCCTTTACCTTCAGACTCTCTCACTACTGTCTCCTTTACCTTCAGACTCTCTCACTACTGTCTCCTTTACCTTCAGACTCTCTCACTACTGTCTCCTTTACCTTCAGACTCTCTCACTACTGTCTCCTTTACCTTCAGACTCTCTCACTACTGTCTCCTTTACCTTCAGACTCTCTCACTACTGTCCCTTTACCTTCAGACTCTCTCACTACTGTCTCCTTTACCTTCAGACTCTCTCACTACTGTCTCCTTTACCTTCAGACTCTCTCACTACTGTCTCCTTTACCTTCAGACTCTCTCACTACTGTCTCCTTTACCTTCAGACTCTCTCACTACTGTCTCCTTTACCTTCAGACTCTCTCACTACTGTCTCCTTTACCCTCAGACTCTCTCACTACTGTCTTCTTTACCTTCAGACTCTCTCACTACTGTCTCCTTTACCCTCAGACTCTCTCACTACTGTCTCCTTTACCTTCAGACTCTCTCACTACTGTCTCCTTTACCTTCAGACTCTCTCACTACTGTCTCCTTTACCTTCAGACTCTCTCACTACTGTCTCCTTTACCTTCAGACTCTCTCACTACTGTCTCCTTTACCCTCAGACTCTCTCACTACTCTCTCCTTTACCTTCAGACTCTCTCACTACTGTCTCCTTTACCTTCAGACTCTCTCACTACTGTCTCCTTTACCTTCAGACTCTCTCACTACTGTCTCCTTTACCTTCAGACTCTCTCACTACTGTCTCCTTTACCTTCAGACTCTCTCACTACTGTCTCCTTTACCTTCAGACTCTCTCACTACTGTCTCCTTTACCTTCAGACTCTCTCACTACTGTCTCCTTTACCCTCAGACTCTCTCACTACTGTCTCCTTTACCTTCAGACTCTCTCACTACTGTCTCCTTTACCTTCAGACTCTCTCACTACTGTCTCCTTTACCTTCAGACTCTCTCACTACTGTCTCCTTTACCTTCAGACTCTCTCACTACTGTCTCCTTTACCTTCAGACTCTCTCACTACTGTCTCCTTTACCTTCAGACTCTCTCACTACTGTCACCTTTACCTTCAGACTCTCTCACTACTGTCTCCTTTACCTTCAGACTCTCTCACTACTGTCTCCTTTACCTTCAGACTCTCTCACTACTGTCTCCTTTACCTTCAGACTCTCTCACTACTGTCTCCTTTACCTTCAGACTCTCTCACTACTGTCTCCTTTACCCTCAGACTCTCTCACTACTCTCTCCTTTACCTTCAGACTCTCTCACTACTGTCTCCTTTACCTTCAGACTCTCTCACTACTGTCTCCTTTACCTTCAGACTCTCTCACTACTGTCTCCTTTACCTTCAGACTCTCTCACTACTGTCTCCTTTACCTTCAGACTCTCTCACTACTGTCTCCTTTACCTTCAGACTCTCTCACTACTGTCTCCTTTACCTTCAGACTCTCTCACTACTGTCTCCTTTACCCTCAGACTCTCTCACTACTGTCTCCTTTACCTTCAGACTCTCTCACTACTGTCTCCTTTACCTTCAGACTCTCTCACTACTGTCTCCTTTACCTTCAGACTCTCTCACTACTGTCTCCTTTACCTTCAGACTCTCTCACTACTGTCTTCTTTACCCTCAGACTCTCTCACTACTGTCTCCTTTACCTTCAGACTCTCTCACTACTGTCTCCTTTACCTTCAGACTCTCTCACTACTGTCTCCTTTACCTTCAGACTCTCTCACTACTGTCTCCTTTACCTTCAGACTCTCTCACTACTGTCTCCTTTACCTTCAGACTCTCTCACTACTGTCTCCTTTACCTTCAGACTCTCTCACTACTGTCTCCTTTACCTTCAGACTCTCTCACTACTGTCTACTTTACCTTCAGACTCTCTCACTACTGTCTCCTTTACCTTCAGACTCTCTCACTACTGTCTCCTTTACCTTCAGACTCTCTCACTACTGTCTCCTTTACCTTCAGACTCTCTCACTACTGTCTTCTTTACCCTCAGACTCTCTCACTACTGTCTCCTTTACCTTCAGACTCTCTCACTACTGTCTCCTTTACCTTCAGACTCTCTCACTACTGTCTCCTTTACCTTCAGACTCTCTCACTACTGTCTTCTTTACCTTCAGACTCTCTCACTACTGTCTCCTTTACCTTCAGACTCTCTCACTACTGTCTCCTTTACCCTCAGACTCTCTCACTACTGTCTCCTTTACCTTCAGACTCTCTCACTACTGTCTCCTTTACCTTCAGACTCTCTCACTACTGTCTCCTTTACCTTCAGACTCTCTCACTACTGTCTCCTTTACCTTCAGACTCTCTCACTACTGTCTCCTTTACCTTCAGACTCTCTCACTACGGTCTCCTTTACCTTCAGACTCTCTCACTACTGTCTTCTTTACCTTCAGACTCTCTCACTACGGTCTCCTTTACCCTCAGACTCTCTCACTACTGTCTCCTTTACCTTCAGACTCTCTCACTACTGTCTCCTTTACCTTCAGACTCTCTCACTACTGTCTCCTTTACCTTCAGACTCTCTCACTACTGTCTCCTTTACCTTCAGACTCTCTCACTACTGTCTCCTTTACCTTCAGACTCTCTCACTACTGTCTCCTTTACCTTCAGACTCTCTCACTACTGTGTCCTTTACCTTCAGACTCTCTCACTACTGTCTCCTTTACCTTCAGACTCTCTCACTACTGTCTCCTTTACCTTCAGACTCTCTCACTACTGTGTCCTTTACCCTCAGACTCTCTCACTACTGTCTCCTTTACCTTCAGACTCTCTCACTACTCTCTCCTTTACCCTCAGACTCTCTCACTACTCTCTCCTTTACCCTCAGACTCTCTCACTACTGTCTCCTTTACCTTCAGACTCTCTCACTACTGTCTCCTTTACCTTCAGACTCTCTCACTACTGTCTCCTTTACCTTCAGACTCTCTCACTACTGTCTCCTTTACCTTCAGACTCTCTCACTACCGTCTCCTTTACCCTCAGACTCTCTCACTACTGTCTCCTTTACCTTCAGACTCTCTCACTACTGTCTCCTTTACCCTCAGACTCTCTCACTACTGTCTCCTTTACCCTCAGACTCTCTCACTACTGTCTCCTTTACCTTCAGACCCTCTCCTTTCCCTGACCTCTGACCCCTGACCCCTGGTACCCACCTGAGTGACCTCAGCAGGGGTCCACTGCTCTGTGTGGAGCCTGGACTGAGGAGCAGAGGACTCTGGGAGCGGGAGGAGGAGCCGGAGGAGGTGCTGTCCAGGTACCGCCCACCTGCACCACAAACACACAACCATGTGACGACACACACAACCATGTGACGACACACACAACCATGTGACGACACACACAACCATGTGACGACACACAACCATGTGACGACACACTACTATGTGACGACACACAACCATGTGACAACACACAACCATGTGACAACACACACAACCATGTGACGACACACACACCCATGTGACGACACACAACCATGTGACGACACACAACCATGTGACGACACACACAACCATGTGACGACACACACAACCATGTGACGACACACAACCATGTGACAACACACAACCATGTGACAACACACACAACCATGTGACGACACACACAACCATGTGACAACACACAACCATGTGACGACACACACAACCATGTGACGACACACAACCATGTGACAGTCTGATAGAGCTCTGACTGCAGACGCTGCTCCCTCTACAATAGTCTGATAGAGCTCTGACTGCAGACGCTGCTCCCTCTACAACAGTCTGATAGAGCTCTGACTGCAGACGCTGCTCCCTCTACAACAGTCTGATAGAGCTCTGACTGCAGACGCTGCTCCCTCTACAACAGTCTGATAGAGCTCTGACTGCAGACGCTGCTCCCTCTACAACAGTCTGATAGAGCTCTGACTGCAGACGCTGCTCCCTCTACAACAGTCTGATAGAGCTCTGACTGCAGACGCTGCTCCCTCTACAACAGTCTGATAGAGCTCTGACTGCAGACGCTGCTCCCTCTACAACAGTCTGATAGAGCTCTGACTGCAGACGCTGCTCCCTCTACAACAGTCTGACAGAGCTCTGACTGCAGACGCTGCTCCCTCTACAACAGTCTGATAGAGCTCTGACTGCAGACGCTGCTCCCTCTACAACAGTCTGATAGAGCTCTGACTGCAGACGCTGCTCCCTCTACAACAGTCTGATAGAGCTCTGACTGCAGACGCTGCTCCCTCTACAACAGTCTGATAGAGCTCTGACTGCAGACGCTGCTCCCTCTACAACAGTCTGACAGAGCTCTGACTGCAGACGCTGCTCCCTCTACAACAGTCTGACAGAGCTCTGACTGCAGACGCTGCTCCCTCTACAACAGTCTGATAGAGCTCTGACTGCAGACGCTGCTCCCTCTACAACAGTCTGATAGAGCTCTGACGGCAGACGCTGCTCCCTCTACAACAGTCTGACAGAGCTCTGACTGCAGACGCTGCTCCCTCTACAACAGTCTGACAGAGCTCTGACTGCAGACGCTGCTCCCTCTACAACAGTCTGATAGAGCTCTGACTGCAGACGCTGCTCCCTCTACAACAGTCTGACAGAGCTCTGACTGCAGACGCTGCTCCCTCTACAACAGTCTGACAGAGCTCTGACTGCAGACGCTGCTCCCTCTACAACAGTCTGATAGAGCTCTGACTGCAGACGCTGCTCCCTCTACAACAGTCTGATAGAGCTCTGACGGCAGACGCTGCTCCCTCTACAACAGTCTGACAGAGCTCTGACTGCAGACGCTGCTCCCTCTACAACAGTCTGACAGAGCTCTGACTGCAGACGCTGCTCCCTCTACAACAGTCTGACAGAGCTCTGACTGCAGACGCTGCTCCCTCTACAACAGTCTGATAGAGCTCTGACTGCAGACGCTGCTCCCTCTACAACAGTCTGACAGAGCTCTGACTGCAGACGCTGCTCCCTCTACAACAGTCTGACAGAGCTCTGACTGCAGACGCTGCTCCCTCTACAACAGTCTGACAGAGCTCTGACTGCAGACGCTGCTCCCTCTACAACAGTCTGATAGAGCTCTGACTGCAGACGCTGCTCCCTCTACAACAGTCTGACAGAGCTCTGACTGCAGACGCTGCTCCCTCTACAACAGTCTGACAGAGCTCTGACTGCAGACGCTGCTCCCTCTACAACAGTCTGACAGAGCTCTGACTGCAGACGCTGCTCCCTCTACAACAGTCTGATAGAGCTCTGACTGCAGACGCTGCTCCCTCTACAACAGTCTGACAGAGCTCTGACTGCAGACGCTGCTCCCTCTACAACAGTCTGATAGAGCTCTGACTGCAGACGCTGCTCCCTCTACAACAGTCTGACAGACATTAACCACATGTTTGTCCTGAAGGAACTTATTTTCTGATAACACTGGGTAACAAAAAATATGTTTTGTAAATAGTCCAGGGTTTTCAGCTGAATCAGACTAATGTTGATGCTCTGAGTCCGAAAATAACGTTGGTTTTGCTCAATCAGGTCTGGATTGTTTGCTACAGAAATATTTTTTGAAATCGATTTTGCGTAAAAACAAATTTCTGCGGATCATCAGCTGAGAAACCCTTGACGTTTTTTCCGTTTTCCTCAAGAAATAAAAGTCAACATATCCAAAGTCATTCAGTTGTTATTGAGAGTGTGTGTGTGTATGTCTGAGAGTGTGTGTTATGGAGCTATTATTGTTTCAATAATATTTGTGCGTGCGTAACCAGATTTGTGTGTGTGTAAAAGAAATATTTGTGCGTGTGTAAATAGATTTGTATGTACGTATCAAGATTTTTGTGTGCGTAGAAAGATTTGTGTGTGCGTAGAAAGATTTGTGTGTGCGTAGAAAGATTTGTTGTGTGCGTAGAAAGATTTGTTGTGTGCGTAGAAAGATTTGTGCGTGCGTAAACAGATTTGTGTGTGTGTAATTTGACATTTGTATCTGTAACAGAACAATCTGTGTGTAAATAACCACGTTGTACGAAGAGAAGGGCGGCACGGTGGCTGAGTGGATAGCACTCTCGCCTCTCAGCAAGAAGGTCCTGGGTTCGAATCCCGGCCGGACCAGGGCCTTTCTGAGTGGAGTTTGCATGTTCTCCCCGTGTCTGCGTAGGTTTCCTCCGGGTACTCCGGTTTCCCCTACCACTAAAAATATGTCCAATAGTTCTGGCATGCGCCTCCTGTACTGGCGACCCCGCTCCCATCTCTGTGTGGAGTGAGACAATTGCCCAACATTAACAATTGTAAACCGCTTGCATGCAGTGAAAAGGCGGTATATAAATAAAAACTTACTTACTTACTTACTAGAAGAACAAAAAAAGCCTAAGTGCTACGCACAGGCTCTGTTTTACACACATCTGTTTTTGACACACCTCTGCCGCCAAGCGTGTGTCAAAAAGATTCGTAAGTGTAATGTGGTTGTTCTAGCAGTACACCAGCAGGTGGTGCTGTTGTAGCTGGTTATTACCGACACGCAAACAAACAAAAACCTACTGCCTTGACAAGACACACTACCGCAGCTGTTTATATTTTTTTCCTATATTTAAAATCCTGTCATTCACACCACTGTATGACACATGGATCTATTATAATAACTGGATAGGGTGGTACTAGCTTGGAGCTGAAGGATTCTCACGTACTGCAGACTAAATTCACGTGGGCTACACAGACATTTTCCCCATAGAACTCAAAGTAAACTAAAACAGCTGACAGAGAACCTGACAGAGAACCTGACAGAGAACCTGACAGAGAACCTGACAGAGAACCTGACAGAGAACCTGACAGAGAACCTACAGCTTTCATAAAGGTCGGATTTTGTGGGAATTTTAGTGTTCCTTGTTATCCTGAACTTTTCTTCTTCTTAAATCCTTCGGTTTTCTCTATCTACACTATAGTGCCACAAACTCTGCTCGTTTGCTTGCGTGTAGGTAATAACCAGCTACAACAGCACCACCTGCTGGTGTACTGCTAGAACAACCACATTACACTTACGAATCTTTTTGACACACGCTTGGCGGCAGAAGTGTGTCAAAAAGAGATGTGTGTAAAACAGAGCCTGTGCGTAGCTCTAGGCTTTTGTCCGTTCTTCTCTTTGTACAACGTGGTTATTTACACACAGATTGTTCTGCTACAGATACAAATGTCAAATTACACACACACAAATCTGTTTACGCACGCACACAGTCCAAGTTACACTTGCGAATCTGCGAAGGCAGGACTGCGTCAAAAGATTTGTGTGTAAAAAAAAAACTTGTGTGTAAAACGTACTTTTTTTTTTACACCCACACAAATCTTTTTACGCACACACAAATCTGGTTATGCACGCACAAATATTATTGAAACAATTATAGCTCCATAGTGTGTGTGTGTGTGTGTGTGAGTGTGTGTGTGTGTGTGTCTGAGTGCACTTGTTTTCAACTCCTGGTGGGTTCCATAACCTGAGATTCCACTCACGTCATGGGGACTGGTTTTACGTGGTGGGGCCCGAACACCGGACCCCACTGGTCCAAGCTTAATAATCAATGGGTAATGCTTTTCTAACGGTCCTTATGCAGTCTCTGTAAAAATATGGAAAGGACCCCTGGAGGTTTACTTTCCTGAAAAAAGTGTGTTATGTGTCGGAACCCTGGTGGTGGGTTGCGGGATATCAAGGAGGGGCACACTGGGGCAATTTCAGTCCAGCAGGCTGGAGCCAATCATGGAGCAGCACAACAGAGGCTGGAGCCAATCATGGAGCAGCACAACAGAGGCTGGAGCCAATCATGGAGCAGCACAACAGAGGAAATCAGGTGTCAGGCTAGAAAAGGTGCAAGTGTGTGGTTCATTAGGCTGCAGCCAATCACAGAGGAGCACACTGAAGCGCACGCTTACAAACCACTGGTAAGTGCTGACTACAAGTCATGACTTCAAATTGTTATATAGAATTATTACTAATTATTTGTTGTTTGTGCAGCTTAGTCAAGAGTCCCTAATTGATGAAGTCGACTCAGATTCTGACGATTTAACTGTCAAGAAGAAACCTGTAAAAAAGTATGGAAAAAGAAAAATCAAAAACACTTTTCTTCAAGACTCGGAAAGTGACGAACCAAAGGCAAATAAGATTGTTATCATGCAGCTGCAAAAGAAGAAAAATGGGGGGCGAGTTTACAGCAAGAGACACTTCTGCCTCTACTGTTCAATGTCCTGCCACAAAATGTCCCGTCATTTGACTAGAAAACATGGAAATGAAAGTGACGTAGCCAGAGCATTGGCTCTACCTGTGAAATCTAAAGCACGTAAACTTCAGTTTGATTTGATCAGGAATAGTGGAAACCGTGAGCACAATTTTGAGGTTTTAAAGGCCGGCATTGGAACTTTAGTCCCAGCTAAACAGCCAAATTGCCCAGTTAAATCCAGTGAGTTTTTGCACTGTATAGACTGTGGGGCATTGCTTAAGCGAAAGTCGCTGTGGAGGCATGTGGCCAGGTGCCGGCTTTCACAGAAAGATGCCCAGGCTAAACCAGGCTAAACCAGGTAGAAGTAGGGTCCAGTCCCTCTGCTCCCTAGCCCAGCCTGTACCGGAGGGCATCAGCAAAAAGCTGTGGTCTTTAATTTGGGCAATGCATCAGGATGAGGTCACGGGTGTTGTCAAAGCAGAAAAGGGGATTCTGAGACTCGGAGAGCACCTGTACTTAAAACACGGGCATGATAAGACTAAGCATGATTACATTAGGCAGAAAATGAGAGAAGTCGGTAGGTTAATTAACGAAGCAAAAACTGCAGGGAAACTGAAAACAATTAAGGATTTCTTTATTCCTTCCAACTTTAACCATGTGATTGATGCAGTCAGGTCTGTGGCTGGATATGATGAGGAAACAAATCAATACAAGACTCCATCCTTGGCCCTCAAACTCGGCCATAGCCTCAGAAAGCTAGCAGATATTCTTGAATGTGACTCAAAAATGGAGCATTGTGTTGATGAACTATTTATTAAAAACCTCCAACGAAGCCGGCTGCTTTTTGAGAAGAGGTGGGACGTCTGTGTTTCTTCTACTGCCCTACAGACCCTCCGGCAAGCCAAGTGGAACACTCCGGACCTGCTCCCTCTGACTGAGGACGTTAGAGCCATGCATGCACATATTGAGGTATGTCGACCTGAATATGTGCAAACCCTAATAAGTGAGCCAACGTCTAAGCATTGGTCTAAACTGGCAGTTTTGACTCTTTGTGAGGTCATTATTTTCAATCGAAGAAGGGAAGGTGAGGTTTCAAAGATGCCACTGACAGCGTTTACCTTAAGAAGTAAGACTGGGATCCATTCTGACATTGCTCTGGGACTGTCCCAACTTGAGAAAAAGCTGTGTCAGCATTTTCAACGCATTGAAATTAAAGGGAAAAGAAGTGTGAAAGTGGTGGTTCTTTTGACTCCTGAAATGATTGCTTCGATGGAGGTGCTGGTGGAGAACAGAAGGGCCTGTTCCATCTCTGACCATAACCCATACTTCTTTTCCCGCCCGGGCGCAGACACCCACATCAGGGGATCAGACTCCCTACGCCAGGTAGCCAAAGAATGTGGTGCGGTGCATCCAGAGATGCTATCCTCAACCAAACTTAGAAAGCACATAGCTACTATGTCTACAGTTCTCAATATGAAAGAGAATGAGATGGACATACTTGCCAACTTCCTCGGCCATGACATTCGCATCCACAGGCAATATTACAGACTACCAGAGGGGACACTGGAGCTGGCCAAAATCAGCAAAGTGTTGATGGCCATGGAGCAGGGAAGAGTGACGGAATTCAAAGGAAAGAGCCTCGACCAGATACAAATTGAGCCTGAAGGTAATTCTTGATATTATTAAAATATGTATGATTTTTTTCCCCTAAAGGCCACTTGTATTTTTATTTTCTGTGCGACAGGGAGAGCAGTAGAGATCCTCTCACAAACGGACGGGCTAAAAGAAACTTCAAGCGGAGAACCTTCAACCATTCATCCAGATGCACCCCATGGTAGTGGCAGTGCCCCTTCTGGTAAGTGTACCAGGTGGGGGATTACAGCCAGGCTGCTTGGTCCTAACCCTGGGAGTGTATATTGCTAATATATTTTTATTTCTCTCCCTAGAACGTTAGAGAAAGCCATGGTCTGCATCTGAGGTGAAGGCTGTGGAGAAGACCATGACACCTTTCATACAGACTGGAAAGGTCCCTGGGAAGTCTCACTGCCTGGCCTGGCCTGGCCTGGCCTGCATTAATGCCTCACCAGATGACCTTAGACATCGGACATGGAGTGGCATTAAATTCTATGTCAAAAATAGAATCACTGCAATTCGAAAAAAAAATCTAAAATAAAATTCCTTTAAAATAGTTGTTTGGTTTCTATTGACTGTTTTGTATTACTTAAAGTCTTGGTAAAAAAAGATTATGTCTATGGGTCCCATTCTGAACGGCCCTGTCAAAGGGACCCACCAGGTAACAAAAACGTGTATGTGTGTGTGTGTGTGTGTGTGTCTGTGTGTGTGTGTGTGTCTTTGTGTGCGTGTGTATCTGTGTGTGTGTGTCTTTGTGTGCGTGCGTGTGTATCTGTGTTTGTGTGTGTGTGTGTCTTTGTGTGCGTGTGTGTGTGTGTGTGTCTTTGTGTGTGTGTGTGTGTATCTCAGAGTAGGACAGCTGCAGTCCACACGTACAGCCCTCTGGACACACAGCTGGACACATGTAGAGATTGTGTAACAGGCACATTGTTCATTAAACGGAACAGATTCAACACAAACCTCTACAGAGAAGCAACAAAGTACCATCTATATTTTTCTGGTCTCTCTCTGGTCTCTCTCTCTGGTCTCTCTCTGGTCTCTCTCTGGTCTCTGTCTGGTCTCTCTCTCTGGTCTCTCTCTGGTCTCTCTCTGGTCTCTCTCTGGTCTCTCTCTTGGGTCTCTCTCTGGTCTCTCTCTCTGGTCTCTCTCTGGTCTCTCTCTGGTCTCTCTCTGGTCTCTCTCTTGGGTCTCTCTCTGGTCTCTCTCTCTGGTCTCTCTCTGGTCTCTCTCTCTGGTCTCTCTCTGGTCTCTCTCTGGTCTCTCTCTGGTCTCTCTCTCTGGTCTCTCTCTGGTCTCTCTCTGGTCTCTCTCTGGTCTCTCTCTCTGGTCTCTCTCTGGTCTCTCTCTGGTCTCTCACGTCAGCAGTCATGAGTTCAGGTGGTAAAATAAGTGTGGATGTAATGTTAGAATGGTTTGGGGGATTGGGTACCGTTGGGTGTAGGGTTGAGTTTGGTACCGTTGGGTGTAGGGTTGGGCTGGGTACCGTTGGGTGTAGGGTTGGGTGTAGGGGTTGGGCTGGGTACTGTTGGGTGTAGGGTTGGGCTGGGTACCGTTGGGTGTAGGGTTGGGCTGGGTACCGTTGGGTGTAGGGTTGGGCTGGGTACCGTTGGGTGTAGGGTTGGGCTGGGTACCGTTGGGTGTAGGGTTGGGCTGGGTACTGTTGGGTGTAGGGTTGGGCTGGGTACTGTTGGGTGTAGGGTTGAGCTGGGTACCGTTGGGTGTAGGGTTGAGCTGGGTACCGTTGGGTGTAGGGTTGAGCTGGGCACCGTTGGGTGTAGGGTTGGGCTGGGTACCGTTGGGTGTAGGGTTGGGCTGGGTACTGTTGGGTGTAGGGTTGAGTTTGGTACCGTTGGGGGCAGGGGTGGGCTGGGTACCGTTGGGGGTCTTGGCGGGGCCCGAGGGCTGGGTCCCCTGGGGGTCCGTGCTCTGCTGGATGGGGGAGTTCCGTGTGGAGCCAGTGCTGCCGTTGGAGCCGTACTTCTCCATGAGCTCCGCAAACTCTCTCCTACGGAAACACACACGATTAAGGACGCTTTGTTACTCATGTTTTATTCACTTTGACACAAGTGATAGATTACAATCATAACAATGATGATGATGATGATGATAATAATAATATTATTATTATTATTATTATTATTATTATTATTAATGATAATAATTGGACATTCTTTTCTAATTAGAATTAATTCAAAAAGTTCTGGTGATTTGCACTCGTCAAATAAGTTCTTTCCTAAGAAAATTGGGAAATCCTCCTTCATATCTTCATATTAAGAAGAAATGTGTTTGAAGACTGGTAAAAACATAACATAATAATACTAACTTCTGATTACACATTGTCTTAACATTTCTTGTGGAATTAAATGTTTTGGTTGTTTTCTCAGTGATGGATGCCCCTGTCGCCTATCACCATTTATGCTGCGATTTAATATCATCTCAAGGGCCACTGGAAATGGTCTCGCTGGCCGGATCTGGCCCCCAGGCCTTGACTTTGACACCTGTGCTATTAGTCCTGTTTCCTGCGTTTGTTTGTAGCGTCCATACACTACGTCTGTCTGATCTTGCACGAGCCACTTGACTTCCAGTTGAGACAGCAAGTGTCAAAATAAAGAATATTCTATTGACATTATTAGATCAACCTTTACAAATAATAATTATTTTATAGAGTACGTTTTTTTGTCACTCAAAGCTTCTTCAAACGTCATTATCAATTCACTTCATTCTCACTTTTTTCCCTCTGGGGTTTAAAGACCTTATGCCGGGTTTGATTTATTTAGAAATACAGTTTTAATACCATTTTATATTAGAAGAGAACTACTAAAGGTTTCAAAATCAGTTGTTTTTTTTTGTCTGATCCCCCCAAATCGAAATAACCCCATAGCAACGCCCTTAGAGACGAAAAAACTTCACAGCCCTTGGTGACGTCAGAGTGGGTACGTTTCAACGCTGTAAGTTGTTTACAATTTGGCACTGGGGTTCAAGTCCCGCCTCGGACACTTTTTCACACTCAAAACGGCAATTTATGTGTAGTGAGCAATTGTCACCTGTAGAGGGCAGTATTGTGTTGGGCATCAGTGGAGAGAAGAGAGAAAAGGCAGTCCTGTGGCATAGATCCATGGTTTTCAATGCATGGGCGTTACCCGCTATGACAGGGGTGGCCAACCAGTCAGAGACTAAGAGCCAATTTTTTTTACTGTGTTACAGCAAAGAGCCACATCATACAAATGTGCACTACATAAACATCACCCCAACCCTTACACACGTACGCACACGAGCAGAGACACGCGCACACACATGCAATCTGTCTGAGCAGAGAGAGGTGTGCTCTGCTCAGACAGATGTAAATGTCATCAACATGATAATGACAGAAATTGACTCGTACAGCACTAAAGGGCTGGACTCGACTCTCCCTGGTTTGCGGGCGCTTCCACCGCTCGCTTCAACCGCTCCCCGGTACTTTTTATTAATGGTTCGGCCCTGGTTCTAACCGGGCGAGTCGATACCAGAACAATTGCACGTCAGCGAACATCAATTATGATTCCGAAATGAATGCTTTCAATCTCTAACCAAGAAAAAAAAATCAAGTTTCAACCCAGTGTTCAGCAGAAACACAACTGTCTTTATCGAACCATGATTCACTCTCTGACTGTATTTAGTAAAAGATATAAATTTGACACATAACACCAACACCACTTTAGCTGATTTAGAACCACAGACACATGCTCAGTATAAGACCAGATACTTTTGCATTTGATTGAAGACAGACACTCACCAGGCAGAGTTGGCTTATCTCCTGGTGTAATGCTAGTTGTTGTTAGCTGGTTTTAGCATGTTAGCCGGTGTTAGCCGATGTCCGTAAATGTAATCCATTTGGTCAAACCACCTCCAGACTTTTCGGGTCTGCCTCTACTTCTGCTGCTGCGATCTTTCATTTCACGGTTGTCACTTTTAAGCTTTTTAACTTTTCTCTGCATTGTGATGTTTGTGGGAATCATTCTGCTCCGTCCTTAGTGCTAGCTCCACAAACACCTTCTGGTTTCTGGTGGAACCATCGAGCTCAGGCTGGTGTCCTCTCCTCAAACTGAGGAAGGTGTTGCCCTCATCCAGCGACCAAGGAACTGTTTTCCGTACGGACGTCATGGGTCGAGGCAACGTGTTGTTTGTTATGATATTTAACAGCTGAGGCAGCGGCTGCAGAGTGGTTGACAGCGCATCTGACCAATCAGAATTGACGTTCGCCGACGTCAGATTGTTTTGGTGGCCTGGCTAGTGGAGTGGGGTCGGCCTTTACTATGGGTCAGAACTACATATGGAATGAAAGGCAGCGCCACCACCGAGGCGTTTTTGACGCTTGTCGAGTGAAAGCCCGAGAGCCGCACGGAACCAGCCAAAGAGCCGCATGCGGCTCACGAGCCGCGGGTTGGCCACCCCTGCGCTATGACGTCACACACAGGTTAGAGCATAGACAACTTAAATTCATGAAAAACACGTTCTTTTTATAAAATATAGGATTTTTTTTGCCGGAATCTCTTTCAGATCGACATTGTCATGCAATTTTGATATCCACATTTTTTTTTTTCTAACCCCGCATAAGGTCTTTAAAGAAGCTACGCCCGATTCTTTTTCTTATGAGTTCATAAAAATGCTTATTGCTACAAACAAGTTGTATTATAATCTGTAATTTAATGGAAAACTTTGGTTGCTGGTGGCTGTTGTGTTGTGGTTGTTGCTAGTGGCTGTTGTGTTGTGGTTGTGTTGTGCTGTGGTTGTTGTGTTGTGTTGTGGTTGTGTTGTGCTGTGGTTGTTGTGTTGTGGTTGTGTTGTGCTGTGGTTGTTGTGCTGTGGTTGTTGTGCTGTGGTTGTGTTGTGCTGTGGTTGTAAATCTGTGGCCAGAATGCTTTTCATCGATTATAGCTCTGCTTTAACTGCCTTGTCCCAGGTAAACTGATGGAAAAGCTCATGTCTCTCGGTTTAAGTGTTGCCATGTGTAAATGGATTTTTATCTTTTTAACTGACAGATCTCAGAGAGTGTTTTTCTGATGTTGTTTCTGTGAGCACTGGTTCTCCTCAGGGATGTATTTTGAGTCCTTTACTTTTTACTTTGTACACTCACGATTGTGTGTCCTCCTCTGACTCAAACTTGATCATCAAATATGCTGATGACACCACCATCATCGGTCTCATCAGTGACACTGATGAATCCTCTTATAGAGCAGAGATACAAAATGTGGTTCAGTGGAGTCAAACTAACAACCTCCAGTTGAACGCATCCAAAACATGTGAACTGGTCTACGACTTCAGTCGCAATAGTTCTCATTTGTCTGTCGTAATCGACAACTTCCAGGTGCAGATCGTAGAGGAGCAAGTTTCTGGGTTTAACTTTGTCTAACCTGAAATGGGTTAAAAACACTGACCGGGTCGTAAAGAAAGCTCGTCAGCGTCTCTACTTCCTGCGGAAACTTAGAGAATTTACCACTAACTCTAAGATTGTGCTTAACTTTTATGGCTGCACCATTGAGAGTTTACTTGTTGGTTCTGTGTCTGTGTGGTTTGGAAACATCACAGATAAAGAAAAGAGAGCTTTAAACAAGGTGCTCCGCTCTGCAAAGAGGACCGTGGGCTGTGAGCTTCCTGTTCTGGAGGTTCTTTATAAATCCACACTTTTAAACAAAGCTCTTAGGATTGTTAATGACTCTTCTGGCCACCCTGGGAAAGCCATGTTCCAGCTTCTTCCCTCTGGCAGAAGATATCGCTCGCTGAGATGCAGGACATCTCGTTACGCTAACAGTTTTTATCCACAAGCTGTTATCAGTGTGAACAGAGCACTTTAATGATTTGCACTTGTTTTGAAACTGTATTTGTCTGTGCACACTGGAGACTTTTGATAATGTATTCCAATGTGGTTTTACTGCAAATGGCAAATAAACTGAATCTGAATCTGTGGTTGTTGTGTTGTGCTGTGGTTGTTGTGGTTGTGTTGTGCTGTGGTTGTTGTGTTGTGGTTGTGGTTGTTGCTGGAGGTTGTTGTGGGGAGGGGCTGATGAGGCTGTAATCCACTGTGTCCTGACGCAGCACAGATTAACAACTGATCCTCAGCAGAAAAAACCCCTCCTCATGTCGACAATGAGCTCTACTGAGCACACACACTACTGAACACACACACACACACACACACATACACACACACTACTGAACACACACACACACACACACACACACACACTACTGAACACACACACACACACTACTGAACACACACACACACACACACTACTGAACACACACACACATACACACACACTACTGAACACACACACACACATACACACACACTACTGAACACACACACACACACACACATACACACACACTACTGAACACACACACACACACATACACACACACTACTGAACACACACACACTACTGAACACACACACACACACACACTACTGAACACACACACACACACACACACACACTACTGAACACACACACACACACTACTGAACACACACACACACACTACTGAACACACACACACATACACACACACTACTGAACACACACACACACACACACACACTACTGAACACACACACACACACACTACTGAACACACACTACTGAACACACACACACACACACACTACTGAACACACACACTAATGAACACACACACTACTGAACACACACACACACTACTGAACACACACACTAATGAACACACACACTACTGAACACACAAACACACACTACTGAACACACAAACACACACTACTGAACACACACACACACACACTACTGGACACACACACACACACTACTGAACACACAAACACACACTACTGAACACACAAACACACACTACTGAACACACACACACACACACTACTGGACACACACACACACTCTACTGAACACACAAACACACACTACTGAACACACACACATATGTATGTGTGCCTGTGTGTGTGTGTGTTCAGGAGGCGGTGTGTGTATGTATGTGTGTGTGTGTATGTGTGTATTTCTGTTTATGTATGTGTGTGTGTGTTCAGTAGTGTGTGTACCTGTGTGTGTATTCAGTAGTTGTGTGTGTGTGTTCAGTAGTGTGTGTTTGTGTGTTCAGTAGTGTGTGTGTTCAGTAGTGTGTGTTTGTGTGTTCAGTAGTGTGTGTGTGTGTGTGTTCAGTAGTGTGTGTGTTCAGTAGTGTGTGTGTGTGTTCAGTAGTGTGTGTGTGTGTTCAGTAGTGTGTGTGTGTTCAGTAGTGTGTGTGTGTGTGTTCAGTAGTGTGTGTGTGTTCAGTAGTGTGTGTGTGTGTTCAGTAGTGTGTGTGTGTGTTCAGTAGTGTGTGTGTGTTCAGTAGTGTGTGTGTGTTCAGTAGTGTGTGTGTGTGTGTTCAGTAGTGTGTGTGTGTGTGTGTTCAGTAGTGTGTGTGTGTGTATATTACTTGGCCTCCTCGTCTCGAGCGATCAGCAGTCTCATGTGATTGGTTGCAGAGGCCGATCTCAAGACGTCCACAGCTCTGGGAAAAACACACAACTGGTCAATACAACTGTGTGTGGTCAATACAACTGTGTGTGGTCAATACAACTGTGTGTGTCCAATACAACTGTGTGTGTCCAATACAACTGTGTGTGTTCAATACAACTTTGTGTGTCCAATACAACTGTGTGTGTCCAATACAACTGTGTGTGTCCAATACAACTGTGTGAACTTGTTACTACCCCGATCACTGTACCGTCGGCTCAGCGCTCCCCTCTTAAATCTGAGGTAATTATCAAATTCATACACGCCCCAAGGCCTACGCTTCATACACGCCCCAAGGCCTACGCTTCATACACGCCCCAAGGCCTACGCTTCATACACGCCCCAAGGTCCTACGCTTCGTACACGCCCCAAGGTCCTACGCTTCATACACGCCCCAAGGTCCTACGCTTCGTACACGCCCCAAGGCCTACGCTTCATACACGCCCCAAGGCCTACGCTTCATACACGCCCAAAGGCCTACGCTTCATACACGCCCCAAGGCCTACGCTTCATACACGCCCCAAGGTCCTACGCTTCATACACGCCCCAAGGTCCTACGCTTCGTACACGCCCCAAGGCCTACGCTTCATACACGCCCCAAGGCCTACGCTTCATACACGCCCCAAGGCCTACGCTTCATACACGCCCCAAGGCCTACGCTTCATACACGCCCCAAGGCCTACGCTTCATACACGCCCCAAGGCCTACGCTTCATACACGCCCCAAGGCCTACGCTTCATACACGCCCCAAGGTCCTACGCTTCGTACACGCCCCAAGGCCTACGCTTCATACACGCCCCAAGGCCTACGCTTCATACACGCCCCAAGGTCCTACGCTTCGTACACGCCCCAAGGTCCTACGCTTCATACACGCCCCAAGGCCTACGCTTCATACACGCCCCAAGGTCCTACGCTTCGTACACGCCCCAAGGCCTACGCTTCATACACGCCCCAAGGCCTACGCTTCATACACGCCCAAAGGCCTACGCTTCATACACGCCCCAAGGCCTACGCTTCATACACGCCCCAAGGTCCTACGCTTCATACACGCCCCAAGGTCCTACGCTTCGTACACGCCCCAAGGCCTACGCTTCATACACGCCCCAAGGCCTACGCTTCATACACGCCCCAAGGCCTACGCTTCATACACGCCCCAAGGCCTACGCTTCATACACGCCCCAAGGCCTACGCTTCATACACGCCCCAAGGCCTACGCTTCATACACGCCCCAAGGCCTACGCTTCATACACGCCCCAAGGCCTACGCTTCATACACGCCCCAAGGTCCTACGCTTCGTACACGCCCCAAGGCCTACGCTTCATACACGCCCCAAGGTCCTACGCTTCGTACACGCCCCAAGGCCTACGCTTCATACACGCATGTTCACCACAGAGCTGCGGGTGACCATCCCTGCATACTCCCTGTATCATACTCTCATACTGCGATCGATCTCATCGCTGCAAGTGTCAGTGCCGGGGTCAATGCGCCAAATAAATACATCGTTTCAATGTATTAATTGTGTCTTTGGTCTGTTCAGATGGAAATGAAGCTGAAGGCGCAGATTCAGACTGAAAGACCGAGTGCAAATTCACCCTTCCAAGCCAACCAATAACAAAGCTCTGCCAGCCTCGACCAATCACACAGCTCTGCCAGCCTCGAGCCTCAGCCAATCACACAGCTTTGCCAGCCTCAACCAATCACACAGCTCTGCCAGCCTCGACCAATCACACAGCTCTGCCAGCCTCGACCAATCACACAGCTCTGTCAGCCTCAGCCAATCACACAGCTCTGCCAGCCAGGAGCCTCAGCCAATCACACAGCTCTGTCGGCCTCAACCAATCACACAGCTCTGCCAGCCTCAACCAATCACACAGCTCTGCCAGCCTCAACCAATCACACAGCTCTGCCAGCCTCAACCAATCACACAGCTCTGCCAGCCTCGACCAATCACACAGCTCTGCCAGCCTCGACCAATCACACAGCTCTGCCAGCCTCAGCCAATCACACAGCTCTGCCAGCCAGGAGCCTCTGGCTCCTGCTCTGGCTTCTGCTCTGACTCCTGCTCTGGCTCCTGCTCTGGCTTCTGCTCTGACTCCTCCTCTGGCTCCTGCTCTGGCTCCTGCTCTGGCTCCTGCTCTGGCTCCTCCTCTGGCTTCTGCTCTGGCTCCTGCTCTGACTCCTCCTCTGACTCCTCCTCTGGCTCCTGCTCTGGCTCCTGCTCTGGCTTCTGCTCTGACTCCTCCCCTGGCTTCTGCTCTGACTCCTGCTCTGGCTCCTGCTCTGGCTTCTGCTCTGACTCCTCCTCTGGCTCCTGCTCTGGCTCCTGCTCTGGCTCCTGCTCTGGCTCCTCCTCTGGCTTCTGCTCTGGCTCCTGCTCTGACTCCTCCTCTGACTCCTCCTCTGGCTCCTGCTCTGGCTCCTGCTCTGGCTTCTGCTCTGACTCCTCCCCTGGCTCCTGCTCTGGCTCCTGCTCTGGCTCCTGCTCTGGCTCCTGCTCTGGCTCCTGCTCTGACTCCTGCTCTGGCTCCTGCTCTGGCTCCTGCTCTGGCTCCTGCTCTGGCTCCTGCTCCGCCTGCGCCCCATTCACACCATACTCTAGCCCTGACCAGTGCTTGACCCCGGGGGGTCTGAGGTCATCTTCAGCAGCAGACGATCTCCCCTCTGCAAGTGTCACTGCCGGGGTCAATGCGCCAAATAAATAAATCATTTTATCGTATTAATTTTGTATTTGGTCTTTTCAGATTGAAACAACAAAATCAATTGAATCCAGAATCATCATCATGGGACACTCTGCCCCTGACCTCTGCACCATTGACTCTCCATATATATATATATATATATGTATATACTGTATATACATATATATGTACTGTGTGTACTGTGTGTACTGTGTGTACTGTGTGTATATGATAATCACCTGTCACTGGTCACTCCAACCAGACTGTCCCCATTCACCTCCAGGATCTGATCTCCGGGGAGGAGGTTCCCTGGGCACACACACACACACAGACACACACACACAGACACGCACACACAGACACGCACACACACAGACAGACACACACGCACACACACATACACACAGACAGACACGCACACACACACAGACAGACACACACATACAGACACACAGACACACAGACACACACACACACACATACACACACACACACACACACACACACACACACACACACTTTAGTTAAAGAGCCATGTCAATGGATTTCAAAGTTAACTGTTTTAACTGTGTGTTGTATAAAGGTCTCATCAGTGTTTTCTAACTTTGAATTACACTAAATACTGACGTCATGGGTTAGGGTTGTGTTACCGCCACAAAGACAGTTGTGTTACCGTCACAAAGACAGTTGTGTTACCGTCACAAAGACAGTTGTGTTACCGCAACAAAGACAGTTGTGTTACCGCAACAAAGACAGTTGTGTTACGTCACAAAGACAGTTTTGTTGCAGCCACAAAGACAGTTGTGTTACATCACAAAGAGGGTTGTGTTACAGACACAAAGAAGGTTGTGTTACAGTCACAAGACAATTGTGTTACCGTCACAAAGACTGTTGTGTTACAGTCATTAAGATGATTGTGTTACCGTCACAAAGACTGTTGTGTTACAGTCGTTAAGATGATTGTGTTACCGTCACAAAGACTGTTGTGTGACAGTCATTAAGATGATTGTGTTACCGTCACAAAGACTGTTTTGTTACAGTCATTAAGATGATTGTGTTACCGTCACAAAGACTGTTGTGTTACAGTCATTAAGATGATTGTGTTACCGTCACAAAGACTGTTGTGTTACAGTCATTAAGATGATTGTGTTACCGTCACAAAGACTGTTGTGTTACAGTCATTAAGATGATTGTGTTACCGTCACAAAGACTGTTGTGTTACAGTCATTAAGATGATTGTGTTACCGTCACAAAGACTGTTGTGTTACAGTCATTAAGATGATTGTGTTACCGTCACAAAGACTGTTGTGTTACAGTCGTTAAGATGATTGTGTTACCGTCACAAAGACTGTTGTGTTACAGTCGTTAAGATGATTGTGTTACCGTCACAAAGACTGTTGTGTTACAGTCATTAAGATGATTGTGTTACCGTCACAAAGACTGTTGTGTTACAGTCATTAAGATGATTGTGTTACCGTCACAAAGACTGTTGTGTTACAGTCATTAAGATGATTGTGTTACCGTCACAAAGACTGTTGTGTTACAGTCATTAAGATGATTGTGTTACCGTCACAAAGACTGTTGTGTTACAGTCGTTAAGATGATTGTGTTACCGTCACAAAGACTGTTGTGTTACAGTCGTTAAGATGATTGTGTTACCGTCACAAAGACTGTTGTGTTACAGTCATTAAGATGATTGTGTTACCGTCACAAAGACTGTTGTGTTACAGTCATTAAGATGATTGTGTTACCGTCACAAAGACTGTTGTGTTACAGTCATTAAGATGATTGTGTTACCGTCACAAAGACTGTTGTGTTACAGTCATTAAGATGATTGTGTTACCGTCACAAAGACTGTTGTGTTACAGTCATTAAGATGATTGTGTTACCGTCACAAAGACTGTTGTGTTACAGTCATTAAGATGATTGTGTTACCGTCACAAAGACTGTTGTGTTACAGTCATTAAGATGATTGTGTTACCGTCACAAAGACTGTTGTGTTACAGTCATTAAGATGATTGTGTTACCGTCACAAAGACTGTTGTGTTACAGTCATTAAGATGATTGTGTTACCGTCACAAAGACTGTTGTGTTACCGTCACACGCTGCCAGTCCTCCGGGGAGAATGCGCTTGACGTAGACTCCAAACTCCTCTCCGCTCTGCTCCTTCACTCCTCCGATCACCTTGATCCCTGACACACACAAGACACACACAGGACACACACAGACACACATAGACACACACAGGACATACACAGACACACATAGACACACACAGTGTGAAATAGTGACTGTTTCTTACATTAAAGAAACACACAAATCTAGTTTTACTCATGTTTTTATGCTCAGAATTCAGAAAGTGATTCAAATAAATAAACGTGTTCTTGTGTGTGTCCTGTGTGTGTGTGTGTCTGTGTGTGTGTCTGTGTGTCCTGTGTGTGTCTGTGTGTGTGTGTGTCCTGTGTGTGTCCTGTGTGTGTCTGTGTATGTCCTGTGTGTGTGTGTGTGTCTTGTGTGTGTCCTGTGTGTGTCTTGTGTGTGTCCTGTGTGTGTCTTGTGTGTGTCCTGTGTGCGTGGGTGTGTCTGTGTGTGTCTTGTCTGTGTCCTGTGTGTGTCTTGTGTGTGTCCTGTGTGTGTCTGTGTGTGTCTGTGTGTCCTGTGTGTGTCCCGTGTGTGTGTGTGTGTGTGTCTGTGTGTCCCGTGTGTGTGTGTGTGTGTGTCTGTGTGTCCTGTGTGTGTGTGTGTCCTGTTTGTGTCCCGTGTGGTCCCTCTCTGATGGTGCTTTCAGACCGGCAACAGTGAAATGCTGAAGCTCCGCCCACCAGACGCACATTCTCTAGTTTTCAGACGCAGAGGACTTCACACCAGAACGTCCTGACCAGCGCCGGAAGTGGCGGAAGTAGCCGGCTCTGATGCTAACAGAGCTATGCTAGCGGCTTCTGTGTACAGATCTTCTCCAATATGCAGCTCTGCAGCGTCTCTGTGTCTGAGACAGCAGTATGTGTTCACAGTGACTTTATATAACAGCAGTATGTGTTCACGGAGGTGACTTTATATAACAGCAGTATGTGTTCACAGTGACTTTATATAACAGCAGTATGTGTTCACAGTGACTTTATATAACAGCAGTATGTGTTCACGGAGGTGACTTTATATAACAGCAGTATGTGTTCACGGAGGTGACTTTATATAACAGCAGTATGTGTTCACAGTGACTTTATATAACAGCAGTATGTGTTCACAGTGACTTTATATAACAGCAGTATGTGTTCACGGAGGTGACTTTATATAACAGTAGTATGTGTTCACGGAGGTGACTTTATATAACAGCAGTATGTGTTCACGGAGGTGACTTTATATAACAGCAGTATGTGTTCACGGAGGTGACTTTATATAACAGCAGTATGTGTTCACGGAGGTGACTTTATATAACAGCAGTATGTGTTCACGGAGGTGACTTTATATAACAGCAGTATGTGTTCAAGGAGGTGACTTTATATAACAGCAGTATGTGTTCATGGAGGTGACTTTATATAACAGCAGTATGTGTTCACGGTGACTTTATATAACAGCAGTATGTGTTCACGGAGGTGACTTTATATAACAGCAGTATGTGTTCACGGAGGTGACTTTATATAACAGCAGTATGTGTTCACAGTGACTTTATATAACAGCAGTATGTGTTCACGGAGGTGACTTTATATAACAGCAGTATGTGTTCACGGAGGTGACTTTATATAACAGCAGTATGTGTTCAAGGAGGTGACTTTATATAACAGCAGTATGTGTTCACGGAGGTGACTTTATATAACAGCAGTATGTGTTCACGGAGGTGACTTTATATAACAGCAGTATGTGTTCAAGGAGGTGACTTTATATAACAGCAGTATGTGTTCACAGTGACTTTATATAACAGCAGTATGTGTTCACAGTGACTTTATATAACAGCAGTATGTGTTCACGGAGGTGACTTTATATAACAGTAGTATGTGTTCACGGAGGTGACTTTATATAACAGCAGTATGTGTTCACGGAGGTGACTTTATATAACAGCAGTATGTGTTCACGGAGGTGACTTTATATAACAGCAGTATGTGTTCACGGAGGTGACTTTATATAACAGCAGTATGTGTTCACGGAGGTGACTTTATATAACAGCAGTATGTGTTCAAGGAGGTGACTTTATATAACAGCAGTATGTGTTCACGGAGGTGACTTTATATAACAGCAGTATGTGTTCACGGTGACTTTATATAACAGCAGTATGTGTTCACGGAGGTGACTTTATATAACAGCAGTATGTGTTCACGGAGGTGACTTTATATAACAGCAGTATGTGTTCACAGTGACTTTATATAACAGCAGTATGTGTTCACGGAGG